GAGAAAAACACAAATAGCCTATATGGCAAAATAACCTATTGTCAATATTTTAGACTGAGATCCCCCCACATTTTTTCAAATCATGTTTCCAAGACAACCCCCCACCCCTGGGAGCAAGAACAAGAAGCACGCCTCATGGTATCAAAGAACTGGGGTTACGGTTGCAACCTTAAGTTTATTGGCCTCGGTCTTGAGCTCATCCCACCGTTATAGCGTGGTAGTGATGCTGCAGCTTCTGAGGCAGAGTGATATAGTAAAATGAGTGAGTACTGCAAGTGTGCCTAATAAATCTAGGATGTGTCCCAGCTGGGATCCCACAGGGATTCAGAAGCTGCTGCTCCTCTTGTCACTGCTGCTTCTTTCAAGCAGGGTGCCAGCATTTTGATGTTAAGAAAGACATCATGTTAATGTGATTCACTGAAATGCTGCATACAGTTCTTATCTTCTATTCCTTCAAGCTCAGTTTAAAACTGGCCCAAAAGCAACATCTGTGGAGGCTGTAATGGTGAGGGTTTACATTTGTATAGTGTCGGTTGATTTTGACTGAGCTGGGTGCTGTCATACAAAATGACACAAGCAAGTAAAAAAAAATGTCACCGCTTTCTCTCTTTTGTCATAGTGTTTTGTGAAATGATGTATTCTGCACCTCAGGGCTACCGTACAACTCAATCTATATTTTAACCCATCATGCAGATATGAAGTGGGGGGGGGACCCAGTTGTAAATTGTTCACACACCAGGATATTTCATATGATTCAGACAACAGCCAAGAATTGTATTACACAGTCTGTGGAAATCAACTGTAGCAATTACGATCAATGGGGTAATCCTGGATGTGAAAGCAGCAGATGACAAGTGTTTTATTCACCTCTTATAGAACAGTAAGACACTCCAAATAATATGTTTACAGCTTAATTAAATTCCTGGCAATTTGAAAAGTGCACTCTTTCAAATTGCATTTTTGGATTAATAAACATGCCAGAGGAAAAGGACAATGACTGAGAAACCCTGCTAGAGTCTTTTTGCCACGTCATAGTAGGTGTTACTAATGCATTATTAGTAAGTAAGGATGGCTTGGGTCTGTTCAGATCCTACAAGGCCACAGCAGTGAGGCAGCATGCACAATAGGCTTTTCACAGCAGACATTTTGACATGCCACAGCAGTGTAAACACAAGTATAATGTTAACATTTAAAATGGCTGGATTCTATTTATCTGAGCTGTTTCCAGGGTCCTGGTACTGAGCACACTGGGACAGTCACATAACTTGAGAGAGACACTCAATGGAATTCAACCATCATTAACACTGTTAGCCAGCCCTACCTGTGCTTCTCTGACTGTGACAACCCAAAATGTGTGCTGTGAAAAAGGCCTGAGACAAGCAGCTAAACAGTCCAGTGTCATTCATATTTGCACCTGTGCTTTTCCTGCTGGGACAGGTCAGGTTTGTCGTGCTGACTCACTATCATGGCTGAACACAGATGACTATTTGGAAAAGAGCCATTATTACTGTTAATTAATTACACCTGTACTTTCCCAGCAAAGTCAGGTACATCTGAGACTGCATCAAGCGCGTAGTGTCATGGCACCTGTACATTTGATCCTAACAAATTAAGCACTGAACTACAGCTTGAACACAAGACTAAAATATTTATTTGCTACTTCAATAAATAAAGAAAACTGGCAGAGAGACTCTAAATGTACTCAAATATTTCATGCACTTTTCCGCTGGTAACATTTCACTGTGGTGCCCCACAAAAAAAAAAAAAGATCAATCTTGCCAATCAACCATTTAATCAAGCGCCTCAGTGACTCACCCGAGAAGCCCAAAAAACAAATGTGGCAAATCACAAATACAGGTGCAATGAAGGCCAATTCAGATGGAGCACATTTTAGACAATTTTTAAACAATAGCTAGAACTCCATCCTATCGCACGTGTCTCTGACTCTTGTGTGCAGCTATTGCTTTCCAGCACATTTCCACTGTCAGCCATCCAGGTGAAGACCATTTGTATGAACATCTGAACATCTCACACTCAGTCAGACTGTGGTTAGACTGCTGAACGAAGACAGCAAACTGCTGAGGACCTAATGTAGCAACTGCTAAAAAAAAAACTTAGATTATAACTGACACAAAAAATAACTAGGTGATATTAATCCATCCATAGAGAGAGAGAACATGGTTTAGGGATGGAAGGGGGACAGATGAGGAGAGAGGAGGTTAAACCCTCCACTCACTCAGTCACTCACTCACTCACCCACACACACACCCACAATGGAAGCAGACACTAGTCCTTTATTTTTGAACATTACTTGTCACTTTTGTCTACAGGTAGTTGTAGGCATATACTGTATGTATGTGTGCATACAGAACTAGTACAGTGTACCTCCTGTTTGAGGACAATAATGAAATCAGGAACACCTGTTGCAGGCAGACTGAAATCAGTGCAGGATAAATAAATCTTTGCCATATGGTGCTGTGACACTGGAGATATCAGTTTTAGAGTTTTACAAATCTGCCGTTTATGGTTATGATGAATACCGTAGATCATATTTATGAGGCTGAAGGATCTCTGGTTATTTATGTCTTATTTGGTATATACTGTATACTGCATAGTGCATTTTGGATGATTCAACTGGTTCAGCTGCCCCAGATGTTTATATGCAATGTGCCTAGTTTGGTATGTTAAGCTCTGAAGGCAGATGTCTGCCAAAACATCACCTCAGTGTAAGGAACAAAGTCTGTGCTGCAAACTGTAGCAATCGTTCGTGTTCCTGCTTTTTGCAAGTACTGTGTGTTTCTATCTTTTTACTATCTTATGTCATACTGCTGTGGTGAACATATATCATCTAGCCACCTTACTGGTGGGTTTTCATTCAGGAAAAGTATAAAAGCACAATTTAAATAATTATTCATTGTTTATTGAATTAAATAGTGAGTGTAAAGTTTAAATAACTATCACTGTAAGACTTGCTCTGTACAAGCAAGCAAACTTTGGCTCACTTCACGGCTCTGCAGTGACACTATTGGCTTTGCCAGATTCACCTCGTTCCAGCATGTTTTTTCCTACCACTGAATCGTGGACGTTTCTGTCCACACATAGTTTTCGCTCCACACACGTAGTTGTCAAACATTAAGAGATTTTTGCATACCACCAGATGAGGTTTCCGACAAACCACAAGAGAGGCCCTGCTCTGGCAACAAAGGATTAACTATAGTGTGATGGAGAATGAGAGAAACCAAACGGGTCAGAGTCAGCCCATGCACTAACACCAGTCAGATTATAGGGACAAGAAAAGGAGCTGAAATGTTTTGAAACAGCACAATGAGTGATGGTTCGATGTTCTTGTCAGAAAGCCACATCTTAAAGCGTTACAGTAGCTTTCCACAGTACATGGAAAAATATCTGGTATCTGCACGATGCTCATGTCTGAGTAAACACCAAACACAGTCCCAACCAGCATTTGTGTTTGATGGCATGCATCACTGAATAACTCTGCATATACAGTACAGCATGAGGAGATTAGCCAACCACTTCCTGCTAACGTGGACACTGCTGATACTTTCTCCTGGATCAATGGACAACAGAAGCTGACCAATCCTGCGTATTAACATCTGACTCTACTACAAGGTCATGATACATTCATTTCCAGCAGCGCATTAGTTACTGTGAAACGTTGCAATGAGAACAACAAACACTAGGTCTTCTACACCCTCATTATAATGTGCACTCACATGGTAAATGACTAGCTTCAAACTGCATCCTCAACACAATTTCAGTAAACCCCAAATTAAAAACTTAGGACCAGTCGGCTCACATGGCACCACTACGCACGATATTAGGCTGTTTTTGAACACTGCACAGCCAACAACACCAGCAGCCTGGTCACAGAGCAGAAATAGCACAATTCTGCCTCATTTGCAAGACTAGTTCAGTTTTTGTGTAGTTTATCTTAAACTCGGGAGGCTTACTGTGGCCAATGCAGTGACATATACCACAGTGCCCCTGCCCCAAATCATATAGAAGACATACCTTTGTGCATCCTCCGGATCACAGACCCCACAGCACTACAACAGGCCAAACAAAACTTACCCCCCGCCAAAATCTAACACTCAAGCACAATAATAGTTGTGGTTTTTAAACATATAGTTAAGTCACTTCCTCCTTTCCTGCATTCCTGGTGACACATCAGCATGGCTTTCCTGTTTGGGGGAATAATAAATAATATCTAGTGTTGAGCCAACCTTAACATTGTACCAAATGGTTGCACTGATTTGATTTGAAAATCTACATATGATATCTATCAAGTATTCCATCTTCCATAATGTAGGATAATATCATCAGCACAGCTCATGAACGTCATCTACCATGCAGCTTTCCACTACGCCAGTGAAAGCACAAGGTGCATTTCACAAATAATGTTAGTGTAATATATACCCACAGCCTTTCAAGAAGGAACTGTTTCCTTCTGTTATGTTGTTTGAATCTTAGAATATTTATAAAGACAAATCTGCACTTTACTTTTGTCCCTTGGAAAAGTGTACAAAGACATGATCTTGCCCTTTGTTAAAAATCCTCAAGGCTACTCATTTATTTCAGTTTCACAGAACACACAAGTACACAACAAACATATCATAGTTGAAACTGATTAGGTGTGTGCAACACATGCAGTCCATCTGATGTATTAGCCTACTATTACCTACTATTTACGACGTTTTCCTACTATTATAAGATATAAAGCAGAACTCTTGGCATTTATAAACCTGCACTATGAGCCAGGGAGCACGTAGACCTAAATGATACACTGATCCATACTGTGTGTAGCTTTGTGGTTGATCTAGAACACAGTAAGAGTAAGTTATAATTCTTTATAGGAGTTCAGTGCACTTCATAAAGAAACCTGTAAGCTATAGAGGAGCACAGTAGCACAACCGCATCACACACCGATAGAAACACTTTTTACAAAGTCTTAAGACAGCGGTCTTGAATTCAGGCCTTACCCAGAAGCTTCTTCACCTCCTCCACGCTCATGTATATGTTGACACTGGGGTGGTGGATGTTGTCGTTGACGCCTGCGGCAGTGCTCGGACTAGCGATGCAGCCGCCCCCCTCCAGCAGCAGGAGGAAGAAGAAGCCCCCGATCCTCCAGACCACCGAAATTAGCCAACCTCTGGACTCAGACGGGCTGCCAGAGCCGCGAACCAACCCCGACATAGCAGTGGTCCTCTGACTCGTACTTGTTTTCGGTGTCCCCCAGACGCCCATTTCTTTCTCATCCGTATGTAAAGTTAATCCCGGGAGACAACATTACGAGGTACTTTACGCCGCAGTGCGACTTGTAGCATTAAGTCCCTTTCGACTAGCCCGTTTTTGTCCTTTCTTGCTAGCAGAGACGGGCTAAATTAGCCAGAGCAGGCTAACTTTGGTCGAGCTGTGCTAACCGTTCGCAGTCACACTGGTTGTTCAGGACGTTTACGGCGTTTTCCAAGCACAAAAATACACACCTGATATCGGCGTATTAGAATGCTTTTATTTGTGTACGAAAAAATGAAAGAAGTGCCCTCAAGTAACAAGGTTGCTAACATATCCAGCTTTCTCCCTCCATGGTCTTTGCTGCAGTTACCTTTTCCCTACTATCTCAGTTTTCACTTGGAGCAGGAAGGGGGGCAGCGGGCTACACTGCTGCCTTTACAGACAGTAGGAAATATTGGCTCACATATAGTCTCACTGGAGGAGCCAAAACGATATAGGGTAACTTGGTCGACTATGTCACATTAAGTCGACACAACAAATTGTAAAACCTACATCTATACCTATGTCTCAGTTTTTGTTATCATCCAATACTGTTAGCATCTGTAATTACCTTTCATTTAAATTGTCACTCATGAGTAGGGTTACAGGCTACATGTGCTAAATGTCATATCCTATTCAATCATATAAGTCTACTATCTATCAGCTCTTTATTTGACGCAGTTAATGTGAATCCGGTACTGATAAGGCATTGAAATATTTCCAATCGAATTACCATTTAACATTCGACCACAAGCACTGCAGTGGTAAAAGTAGGTAAAACCTGCCACATTCCGAGGTTCGCTGAAGGCAGCACATAACCCCGCAAGTCAATCTGAGGAGCAAATGGGATGATTATTTTAAACTATGGATCAGCATGCACCCTGTCATAAACTGGCAACCTGTCCAAGGTGTGCACCGCCTCGCGCACAAAGTCAACTGGGACTGGCTCCACACCCGTTCTGGGTAAGCAGTATAGATGATGGATGGATCAACATGCCCCAATCCAAAGTTAAATGATGAGGAATCCGCCTGTCTGAGGTAGGCCCGACTTCCATATTTTCACTGAGGCTACTAAAACTAATAGTGTGACATTAGCTTAAAATTACAACAAAAATAATTTAAGGGCGCTGTGTATGTTTTTTGGTTTGAGGGGTCAGGTCAGTGCTCAGTCACCTTCTCTGAAGTGAACAGTGAGAGGTACTAGGCAACTAGCCTGAAGGGTGCAAAGTTGTGCTTTTCACATAGCAAATTAAACTCTTCTTGTCTCAGATGTTGCTAAGCTGAATAATAATAATAAAAACTAAAAACAAACAAACAAGAAACAGGCACACATGGATAACTTAGCAGAGCTTTCCCCAGGCCCAAAATACACCACAATACATTACACAACATTAAACTGATGTATAACTCATCACAATTAATGATGTTGGTTTTACAGGTAACAGCTGCACGGTTTATTACAACAATTCCTGTCATAGTGACTATAGAGGCTTGGCACAGTACACACATTATGTGGCACAGACAAGTGTCTTAGTAAGGTGGAGGGGCCGCAAGCCTCCACCATAGCTTCAGTTCAGCTTGGTGTAGGATCGACAAGTCTCTGGCACTCTGCCGGAGAGGTTAGCACCATTCTTCCAGAATATTTTTTCCCAGTTTCGTGTTTTGATGATGGCTATGCACTTCAAAATGTCCCATCTGGTGAAGGTGAAGACCACAGCATGTAATTTACACCATTTTCATACTTGTAGAGTCATTCAGTGACCCCTGCCTTATTTGGGTTGAAGATAGAACAAGGGTTGGATTCTTTTTTTCACCAGTCTGTGCTCACTACTGTGCGCTACCCAGTGATTATAAGCTAACACAGACACAGCCAGTAGTAGCTATTGTACCTTCATTTTTTTCCGTTCAAAAAAATGAATCATGTTATAATCAATCATGCTTCACAACCGACTTAGACTAAGTTTGGCTCTTTGTGCTGAACTATTGTTAAGGAAATTTTTTGTAACTTTTAAACTGACTGACTCCTTGAATAACTGACAGCAAAATGACATGTTAAACATGCCAACAACTGAAAGAAATATGACTGACATTGTTGGCCATGTCTGTGTGTTGGTGACACTGTAGGCCGTCTTTGAAGGAATCCATTTACATGAATGGAAATATTGTCTATGTCCTTATATGATAAACTAGGTATAAATTAAATATAACATTTTTATAAAAATGCAATCTTAGATGAAGATTTCAATATAAAAAACAGAAGCCCAAATTTTTGACATTTTTATTATTAAAATATTCACCTACAAAATGGCCTATAAACACTATTTACAGAAAAGCCAGCAGTGACACTTGGTAAGACAGAGAAAGATATTTTACACAGAAAATACTGTGACAGAGGAAGAGATGAGTTTATGGAGTGTGGAGAAAATGTGCATTTCCCATAGTGAAATCATGGGGCTGGTCTAAAGACTGGGACTCTGAACACTCTACAGTTATTTCCCTGAGGGACAAACCTGCAGCTAAATCACACCACAACAAACAACCTCTCCTAATGTGTCAGCGTGGACAAGGTAATGAGGTATGGAAGGTCTCCGATGCAGTGCAGCGGACTGCTTACCATTAATATTTGCATTCACACTGTATCTATATGAAAAATCAGACTCACAAATGATAAATGATTTGGGACTTTTTTCATTTGACTGAGTGAGGGCTCTTCATAAAGCATGGAGGTACAAACAGCAACCTTATTCTGAGATGAATGACCGTCTCTGAAACGTTACAGTCGGGACCGACAGGGGGTTTCCAGAACAAAAAGATGACCATAATCAGTTGCTTCAAGTAAATTATACACACCAAAACTGAAGTAAGGTTTTTCACATGACAGTGATGACAGTCCTTTCAATAGTATCCAAGAGCTCTAGGAAAAACAAAGACTCAGTTTTAGGACTATTGTTAAACATGTGGTGGTGTACTACAGTAGCAGTGACTATACAATGGTGGAGCAACCATTTCACCACAAAAATATTATTATGTTAACTGTGTTAAAGAAAACAAACCTTTATTGTCGTTTGTTTGTTCTTCTGTCTGTTAAGAAAGGCAGTATCAGTGTGTGAATAGAACTACACTGGTCTATTTGCTAAAGTAACATCATCAATGTTCAGCCAGATTGTTAAACTTACTTTTCTTGGGAAGCGTCGGTTCACAAATCTCTCGATAACAAACATCCTGCTGTACTTTATATGTCCTTTTATACCTGTGAAGAAGAAAACATGCTCATCTGTCTGATTAGTTTGCTCCCACACAGTCTCTACATTACTTCAGCTTTGCAGGTCAGATCAGGCGTTATAGGAATACGCATGCAAGGCTAGAACAGGACGTGGCTGATGTGACTTACAGATAGTGGCACACTCCATCCTCCCAGACGGGCACACTCTTGGTTTCAGAATAGAGACGGGTGCAGGGGTGTGGCACTCGCTGGCACGCTGCAAACAGCAGTCACACAACATGAGGGATGAGTGCTTTAAGTATTGTCAGCAAGGAAAGGTCTGCAGGAGGGCTTAAGAGTCATGGGATGGAGCTGGGCCCTTCTCTCTGGCTGATGGATGGTTTTAGGAAAGGAATGTTTAAACAAGCTGACGCTGGATGTTTAGGTGAAGAGCAGGACTCAAGAGGGGTGAGGGTATGTCCAGTGTCTCCTCACACGCCATTTCTCCGACACGAAATTATCAGAAAAATCAAGTTGACATTGTTCTACTGGGTTTTTCACAGTTAGGGTTTAGGCTGAATGTCATAATATTCCCTTGTTAGTTTGAAAACTTGATTTAAATATCACTTCTTCCAGTATTTTCTAATTTATACCCTGTTACACCATCTGACTTAAGTTTTTAAAACAACACTCAGCCAGTACGATACACAGCTTAAACTCCAATTATATGTCAAAATGTTCAATACTGCAGATCAGACTGCATATAAATGTATTACTCTAAGTTGATTGTGCAGTTTAGAGCTATATGCCACAATGCATTCAGTTCCAATGTACATGTGTTTTAAAGCCCCAAATCACTATCATCTACAGCATAACTCGCCCAATACATAAAGGTCAATGAGTTCACATTTGTTAAAGGCATCCAGACTTAAAGCCAGTCAGCATCAATCACATGCATTCTCTTCAGGAACTGCTTCTCAATTTTTATACTATAATTTGTCTCATGATATTGTCTTATGTTCTTGTTTTTCATTGTGTGACTACTTTTAAGAAACCAGAGGTCTATACAAGCAAGTGTTATCATGATAACACTGTACATTGTATCAGCTAAAGATAAGAACAATGTCACTATGAACATCGTAGCACACTGACATTAGCATCTAGTAGCTACATCTCTACAGACCTGAGACTGTAAGACATTCAAGGCTATTGTTTTAATGAAACTCCCGTTAGGTATATGCATATCTCCAGTGGTGGAAAGTAACAAAGTATATTTACTCAAGTACTGAACTTAAGTACAATTTTGAGGTATCTCTACTTTCTGCTTTCCTTAACTATTTTCATTTTCTGCTACTTCATACTTCAAAAAAATATTGTACTTTGTACTCACTATATTTATTTGATAACTATAGTTAGTAGTTACTTTTCAGGATGAGGTTTATTAATCAAAATACAGTATAATCATAAGATTTATGGATCCTTGGTGTAAAATTCACAAGCTACTAAGCATTAATTCAAACTATAAACATATAACGTAATTAAAATTAGCTTCACCTTTACCAGTCACAACATTAAAAGTGATGTACACAATAATACATCGATAATTATAATTGAATATTATGGTGTACATCAGTGTACAGCATCAGCTGTAATGTGGACGTTGTACCAGACCGTCATGGTGAAGAAAGAGCTGAGCCAAAAGGCAAAGCTCTCAACTTATCAGTCAGTCTATGCTCCAGCCCTCGCCTATGGTCACGAGCTGTGGGTAGTGACAGAAAAAATAAGATTGCGAATACAAGCGGCCAAAATGAGTTTCCTTCGCAGGATTTAGCCTTAGAGATAGGGTGCGGAGTTCAAATACCTAGAAGGACCTCGGATTAGAACCGCTGCTCCTTCACATTGAGAGGAGCCATTTGAGGTGGTTCAGGCATCTTATCAAGATGCCACCAGGGCCCCTCCCTCTGGGGATTTTCCAGGCATATCCAACTGGTAGGAGACCCCTGGGTAGACCCAGAACATGCTGGAGACATGATATATCTCATCTGGCCTGGGAACGCTGTGAAATCCCACCAGAGGAGTTGGAAAACATTGCTGGGGAGAGGGACATCTGGACTACCTTACTGAACCTGCTGCCACTGTGACCTAATCTTGGATAAGCGGAAGAAAATAGATGGATGGACTTTTATTTGTAACAAAGTATTTTTACGCTGTGGTATTGCTACTTTTACCTAAGTAAACAATCTGAGTACTTCTTCCACCACTGTTTATCTCACTAAAGAAACCACTGCTTTAAAATCCCCATTTGATGTCCCAAACACATCAGCAGGCCAAGTGACTGGCCAGTATATTCACTCATTTACCAAAAAGCAGCCTGTGTAGAGAGAAAACACATAAACTTACACAGTTCACACTGTCTTCCCTTAAACCCCGCTGTGCAGTCACAAACAAAGGAGTCGCTTTCGTTCACACACATACCCCCATTCTGGCAGGGCAGTGTCATTAACATCCACAGTACAGAAAAAGTATGGGTCTCAGGTTTCAGGCCTACTACTCCACTTCATCTACAGCTGATACCACATGTTTACGGCCTTAAACCCTGACCACTTACCTTTTTACCAGTCTGATTTCCTGAATGTTACATCCTCTCTTTTTCAGGGTTATCCTCAATCATAGCACTTAGCAAATACTCACAACACAAATGATTAAATGATTAAATAACATGGCTCAAATCCAATAAGACATTAACCTCATGTACTGCATATGTGGCACATCAGCTGGGATCAGTTACATGGGCTGATGTGATGTATTGGAGCAAACAGTAAAACACCTACCAGGCTTTGTTTTTAAACCTTCCTCTTGAATCTCTAGTGCGAGGCTGATTTTGTTTGTTGTTTCTTCCATCTTCTCTAATCTAATTAGTGGGTTGGGTTCTGTAAGGCAAAGCATTTCCTGTCATGAACCAGCGTTAAAGAGGACACAGTAAATGACAGACTGCAGAGTGACTTGAGATGTTGTACTGAATGGACACTTTTAAAGCATTTGTGTTCATTCCTCAGCCTGGAACAATGGAACATGACACTACTGATATGAAAATGTGGCCAAAATCATATTATGACATCATGGGTGTACCATTGTTAAAAGGGAAGGAAGCTTATTCCCTGGAGCACAAGGTAACATCTATATAACTGCTTTTCGTTTTAGGCTACAGGCTTTAAAATCCTGCACTGGGATGGCTGAAGTTAAAAAGTGAAAATTGTTTACGAAAAGAAAAAGACTGTACATGAAAGACTTTTTCAAACTTGTCTCGCTTTATCAAAAGCTGCTATATAAAGTGAACAACATGTGTCAGATAAAGCTGGTCTCTTTGTGTGATAACTGAGAGTCCAGTTTACATTGGTGGACCACCTCTATTTCCTCCAAACAGGCCTGTTTAGGACCACAGGGTAAAAGGACCATGGCCTAAGTTATTTCATCTGCATCAAGATAAGCAAATAAGATGCCTCTTCTGTTGTTCAGACATCCTAAACAAGCTGTTTCAATGTTTTGGTGTAGCATATTAGTTTAATAGTTGGCAGACAAATATAATAGTGTCATTCTGAAGTCATCTGGCTTTAGAAGCAGAATAAATTACTTTATTGGCTAATCAAATATTAACATGACAGCATTATTCACAACTGTGTTATAGTGACTCTCCACTAAATGTTGTGCTTCAGCTATTACTTACTAGCGCGATGTCGAATGGCTTTTCGAGGCAATTGAGGGAACTTGGCTGTTATCTTTCCCCTTCTGTCACTGAGCTCTGTGTATCTGCAACACAGAAAAAAAGCTGTCTGCCATCAGCACTTGAATTACCAGATGGAATCAACTCCTTATCGCTGTATGTGGTCTGAGGGCAGATATAATAACGTTCCAACTCCTGTTGTACCTGGGCAGTTCCTCTGAGTTCTCTGTTTCTGCTGGATCTTGAGGCGGTGATGGGGGAGGTCTGCGTCTGACCTGAGTCCCCTGTCCAGTCATTGTTGGTCTCTCTCTTCTTGGTGATCTGGCCTCCATTGGCACTGCGTCAAAAGAAATTAATGCAGAGATTGCTTTAAAAACCACCAATTTATAATTATACAATATGAAAGATCCAGTAAAATCAAATTCTAGATTGGAGCACCACGTTTTTATCGCATGCCAACATTTCTACCTACTGGCACGTTTTACTGCAGCTGAGCAGGCTAGAGCAGGCTATGAGAACCCTTCCCAGACTTACAGGTAGTAAAGGCTAAGTACTGAGCTGTGCTGTGGATCTGTTCTTGCCCAGTGTTTTTGACAGATGTGAGAGCCACGTAGTAATGCTGTCCTGGCGTCAATTCACGAAGGGTATATGATCCTAATTTCCCATTGGGCAGGAAGCGACTCCTGGTATTCAACCCTCGGGTGACATTGACCACATAGCCATCTGGGACATTGCTTGGGTTGCGGCTCCAGGTGATGAGCGCCGAGTTAGTGGTCACATGTGACAGAGAGAGATTCTGTGGGGGGAGAGGCCCTGAGAGCAACACATGTGAATGGTCAGATTGTTGCATAAAAAATACACTTTGCTTTGAGTAGCTCTCTTGAATTGATGCGTTGACCATTTTTTGTATTTACTTTGTCATTTTGTGCTCTTAATATATGTTAGCTGCAGCTATTTATTTCAGTTGACTAGATCTACAGTCACGTGACTACCTATCAAAGTGAATTCTTTACATTTACTGTAATATATATAGTACAGTACACTCTGCCGGGGATATGCAGAGTCATAAAATCCTAAATCCTAACCCTAAAACACTGGAACCTGGACAGCCAGATGCTGTTTTATTCATATTGCTTCAAAGTAATGCATACAGCTGCACTGACAGCTAAATGGAGAAGTAACCTACTAGTCCAGAATTGCAGTGGTCCGGCTGAGTGGCTGGTGGAGGGAAACTCATCTGGTCTTATTCCACTCTGAGTCAACACATCCACTGTGTACATCTGACCAGCAGATAATGAACTGGGAAACAGAGAGGAGTTCACAAATAATGCACTGCCATGAGCAAGGGAGGTCACCTGACCTAAATTTTTCATGTTACTGCTGAGAGCTTAGCACAAGTGATGAAACAGTGCTCTCTAGTGGCTGAAGAGTATATTTCCCAAAGTCATTCAAAGTGCAGCACCACAACAGCACTGTTTAGTGGACACAAGGAATGCTGCAGGTCTGTATAGCAATGGGAAATTATGGGTTATTCTTTAGGAGCCTGACCTGAAGGTGTACTCGGTGGTGCTCGTGTTAAGCACTGCAGTGCGGGCCTCACTCCCATGTGAAGACAATAAAGACACATGTACCCTGCTGACTGCTGCATGACGAGTTGCCCGAACCGACCAATGCAGCCAAACCTGAGATGAGGAAATGTTGACCACCTGCAGCTGCTCCACCCGCCTAGGTCCTACAGAGAAACACACAGTTACATTTGAAAACTCATGCATGCAGTCAAACTCATGTGCATAAACAGAAGCCTCTCTACTGCTAAATTAGATGGTGTTCTCACTGGTCCGTATTAGTGCGGTGGCGGGCTGGCTGGTGTCATTGCTATTGGTGTTGCTTTTGATGGAAAAGGTGGAGATGTTGTACAGCAGGCCAGGCACCAGGCCCCGTATGACATGGATCGATTGCCACCTGTCCAGGAAGTCTGTTTTCTGATCGCTCCTACCAAGGGGGGCATAGGTAACAGCGAACCCACTGATCAGGCCGTGGAAGGGCTTAGGCTCGTCCCAACGCAGCTCCACCTCATTCTCCTCCACACGCGGCACATGGAGACCAGAAGGAGGCAACAGGTCTGAGAAGAGTGGCAACCATACATGTGTAATCCACATGTTAACAAAATATAAAGTTGTCTTAGAAACACAGAGGAGTGTGAGGTGACAAGTGACAAGCTGAATGAGCTGTACACTGATGCAATGTGGTATGATTCTTAGCTGACCTTTCTCACAGTCTTTGCCCGTGTGTCCTATTTTGCAAACACAGTTATAGTTTCCTCTCTTGTCACTCAGACATCGGCCACGGTTTCCACATGGTTTCAGTACACACGGGTCATCCACTTGGGGGTGACAAAGACATGCAGTTACAACAGTATGGCTCATGTCATAATGAGTGCACTTCTTTTGTGTTTACACTTATAACATCAACATGACAAACTTGTGAGGCAGTGCAAAGCCACTTACACATCTGGCACTGGTCCCCAAAGAAGCCATCTTTGCACACGCACAAGTAATTCTTTCTGTGACCCCGACACACACCTCCATTTAGACAGGGATTGGACTCACACGTGTCCTGCTCTGCACACAGATATTTACAGTAGAATTTGATTGTCATTCTGTATTTTCTGTATGTTAAAATATATACAATTAAAAAAATGATGTAACATTTTGCTTGAACACTGTACCCAGTTCACAATTCTGGCCTTTGAAGCCTTGTGGACAATGACACAAGTAGGAGCCAGGCTGGTCCTCACATGTCCCCCCATGTTTGCAGGGTTCTGACAGGCATTCATCTACATCTTAAGGGAGAAGAAACATATACACAGGTAGCACATACAATGAATGTGTGCAGATACGTTGAACTTCCGCATTTAATATTAAAGTTTGAACAGACTGCACCTGTTTGACAGCGGCTTCCACTGAAGCCATCGTTGCACTGACAGTGGTAAGATCCAACCTGGTTTCGACATGTACCGCCGTTAAGACAAGGCTGTGACAGGCACTCATTGATCTCTGTAACGAGGAGAAACAGAGATTAACATCAACCTATATTTTAGAGCACTGTACATACTAGAGTATAGAATCCTGGATTTTTTTTTGATTTTTTATTAAATGTGTTTACTTTGGGTGTGTGTCCATGTGCTGTGTTTGTTACAGACCCTCACAAAGTGGTGGCTGGCTCCAGTCTCCCTGGATACCACAGATGCTCTGAGTGGCTCTGGGCACAGACGTGAAGCCTGAGTGGCACATGTACACAGCTATAGAGCCTGGTGTTGTTGAGGAGAACTGGACTTCAGCGTGCTTCACTTGTGGCGGCAGCCCACACCCCAGCCCTGAAATGAATACAAACATGTTGATAATGTCAACATGGCTGCACAGTAACACAAGCTCACAACACCGGGGCTTAAAGGAGCTCATCCAGGACAGACTGATTTCAACAGAGGTGGTTTCCATTCAGGCTCTCTGTTTTTGTCCTCCTAAAATTACCTTCAACATTCTGTTGATGTGGGTAGACATGAATCATCAGGTCTAATCAGGTTTTACTTTTTATAGCTTATGTAACCATCCTATATCTGTATGTGTGGGGCCTCCAGTGCAGCAACACTGCTAAGATTATCTTCAGATGGAAAGCCAGTTCCTCTACACTTCACAGCTCAGGATTTTCCTTGCCTGCACCAATCTTTTAAAGTGACCACCATACAAAGTTAAGCTTCAGACTGAGATCTGAACATTATCATGTGGTGACACGCAATCTGCTTACCTGTGGAGGTTTGTAGTGAGCTCCGGCTTAATTCACAGTGTCTGCCGCTGAAGGCCTCAGTGCATTCACATTTATACTTTCCTATGTAGTGAAAACATGTCCCCCCATTTAGACAGGGGCTGGAGGAACAGGGGTCTGGCTTCCCTGGAAGAAAACAGCCACACTGAGAATTAAAAATAACAATCACAACAATATTAATCACAATAATGCAATGAAAATGGGATTAAAACTATGCCAGGCCAAAACTAAAAGCAAAAATAAACAAAAGTAAAACTTCTTTTGATAACAGTATAATAAAACATTAGAAAATACCAATAAAACCAAGATGAAAAACAACACAAACACAGATCCTTAATTTCTTCAAAAACACACATACATATTTGTACTTGCACTCTCGTTGACACAATGAATTCTCTATGAATTCTCACATACAAGTTTTTGTTTTAGGATACAAGGGGGAGGTACTTCACAGTTTAGGGCCATAAAAATTAGCTATCCTAAAAGAAAATCTGTGGAAGATCATTAAAGTACATTAAATGAATTGCAGTCACTGATATAGCAAAGTGCTAGGTTAATAAAGGCTTGTAACTAAGCACAAGGATGTTAAAAAGCAACTCTGAAAGATTTAGGTAGTCAGTGCAGCACCATGAGCTGTGGGTTAAAGTAATCTATTTTTTGTATTAGGTAAAATCCTGGCTGCAGCACTGTAAACTAACCACAGTGTTCTAAAAGACTTTTTAGCTGAGCTGACTGTAAAAAGAGAAGCAATCCAAGCAAATGCTGACAATTGTATGTACTGGCTTTTTAGCTTCGCTCTGGGTTAATTTTGGTGAGGCTTGTAACATTATGTGCCTGTGACGATATTAAAACCGCTCGAGATCTGTAACTCGTCTTACTTAGTTTGACAGACAACCAAAATAAGTGCAGTTTCTGTCTTTCTACTTTCGATCATTCAAGTAGTATCTGTTTCCTGTGCACTGAGTTATAAAAACATATGCTCATCCAAACATTTAAATCAGTGAGACAGGTAATAAGAGCACTCAAAGAACTAGGGACGTCTGGTGGCTGGATCACTTACCGTGCATCTCGACAAACGTGATGCGGTGTTTCACACAAATTTGCAGGGGAAACTGTTTGTCTGTGCATTCGGCACAACATGTTTTGAAAACTACATGGCGGTGCTTACCCACTTCACAGTGTTTTCCAGTGAATCTGTAAGGACACACACATCTATAGCTCTCTGCCTCTTCCTTACAGGAGCCACCATTGCGACAGGGACCAGAAGCACAGGTATTGAGTCTAACTGGAAAGAACACAGGGAGAGGGGAACCCTTCAAGTAGAGACCACTCTAGTTTTTAATGACTCAAAATAAATCTGTTCCAGTACACAGCAATTCCAGTCACAATTCAGGAAACTAGCTCATAACTCAGTCATATGTACAAATTATCATAAGCCTTTAAGCATTGTAATATTTCAAAGAGCATTACGATTAATGGCATGTTTCCTGATGCGTTAAAGCTGGATTTGAGCTTGAGCAGTAACCCACCAGAGATGTTTGGCTAATGGTGCTTCAAAGGTTCATGTGAACCTACAGTATTCTTCTGGTGTTTTATCAGTTATGCTACCTTTCTCACAGTGCTTCCCCCAGTATCCGTACATGCAGTCACAGGTGTAATCTCCATCCCGCTCGTAGCAGTAGCCCCCATTCAGACACGGAGAGGAGTCGCAGATCGATTGCGGCTGTACTGAAAAACAAACAACGAGACTTGACTGTGTTCCATTGCACCGGTAAACCTCCTAAATTTTATTCAAGCACGTGGGCTTGGTCTAGCAGATTATTTGTCATTTTATGACTGGCTCTAGTACAAACCTTGCAATAGCATTCAGCAACAACACAAATCATCTTGAGGTTTCTCCCCAAATGGTTAATATAAACTGCAAATGTGACCAGTCTTATGTAGAAAATGACACTTGACAAGACCAGTGTGTTTAAAAATGTGTTTGTCGCCATAGTGACCGGCTGCCCCTGCAACCACACAAAGCTTCAACATGCACGGTTGCTAGGTTGATGCCTGAGGCTCTTACCATAGGGGTAGAAGTCCTTATGATCTAGTTCTGCTGCGCTAGTCTGACAGGTACACAGGTAGGCACCCCCATACTCCAGACATGGACCTCCATCAGGACATGGCCTGCTGTTGCTGCATGGCGTCTGGGTTACTTCTGAGAGGAAGGGAATGTAAGACAGGTTCACACATTTTAGAAAAACTATCATCTGGTTTGAGTCATTTGTGATCTTGCAGTGACCTTTTTTCACACTGATCAAAGGTCTTGTGAGACGCCTGATAGGATTACATGTATCATACCCACCAAACTGACAGTAGAGTCCAGTGTAGCCTGAAGGGCAGTCACAAGTCCCATTGATGTCCACACAGACACCCCCATTCTGGCAAAGACATTCCTCTGCAAACATAGTGAGAGAGAGGGTGTGTGTATGTGAAGGAGAGAGAGAATCTCGTCGCTGGAAAGTTTGCTCGAGCTACTTGAGTGTAAGTACTTAGATTATGTGAAGTTTTCAGTGATGGTCTAAGTGTAAACATAGACAGAAGGTATAAATGGTCAACATGTGTTTCCTATGCCGAATGTCTTTCATCTGCTATACTGTAAACTAAGTATTGATTCGCTGTCATTGCTCT